GTGTTTTAGAGATTTTTATACACCTGGTGACTTATAGAGATGGACTGCGGCAAGACGAACCCCCAACCCAGTATGCTCACACCTTGCTTTTTTCTCCAAACCAGGATTTCACATTCCCAAACATTGGCCAGATGGAGGACAGGGCTGCAAAGAAGAGGAAGATGTCCCAGGACACCCAGGCAGGTGAGGAGGAAGTCACCACTCCTTTGGCCCTCTCTCCTTCTCCATGTCCCAGCCCAGCATCGTCCCCGGCTGCAGGACAACCCCGCTGCTGACACTGTCCTACCAGGGATGGATTGGGGGGATCTCCATCCCCTTCCCTCTGGCACAGAGGCAAATCCCATCCTCTCCTTGTCCTTCCTYCCCCAGACAATGAGCTGAGGATGGAGACCAAGGAGGACAAACACCCCCAGCAGAACCTCGTGGAAGAGGCCATTTTGACAGTCTGTACAGTGCCGGAATCTACTGAGAAGGAAAAGCCCCAGATATCCCACAAAAAGAGGGGTTCCAAACCCAGCCCAGGATGCTCTGAGGGGGAAAGAAGCACCCTGTGGCAGGAAGGCACTCAGAACTTCAGCCGGGGCTTGGAGCTGGTGGTCCATGAGCAGCTTCACCCTGGGGAGAAGCCCTACGAGTGTGGAGAATGTGAAAAGAGCTTCAGAGACAACTTTGCGCTGAAGCGCCACCAGCGCATCCACACCGGAGAGAGGCCCTATGAGTGTGGGGAATGTGGAAAGAGGTTCAGACAGACCTCCCACCTCATTGTCCACCAGAGGATCCACACTGGGGAACAGCCCTACGAGTGTGGGGAATGTGGGAAGGCCTTCAGAGACAGGTCCAACCTGGTCATTCACCAGCGGATCCACACTGGGGAGAGGCCCTACGAGTGTGGGGAGTGTGGGAAGAGGTTTCTGACCAGCTCCAATCTCCTCCTGCATCAGCGCATTCACACGGATGAGAAGCCCTTCCGCTGTTCCGACTGTGGGAAGGGCTTCAAGCAAAACTCCCACCTCATCACCCACCAGCGCATCCACACTGGGGAGAGGCCCTAYGAGTGTTCCCAGTGTGGGAAGAGCTTCTCCAGCAGCTCTGGCTTGACTGAACACAAACGGAGGCACCGGTAAGGGAAGCCCTGTGAGTTCCTCCATGTGCAGGAAGAGCTTTGTCTCCTGCTCCAATTTCATCACCTAAAGCCTCACCACTTTATTGCTATTTGGGGTGGAAATTGGTTGTTTGGGAGATATTCTGAAGGATGTGGTGCTTCTGGGGCATTTAGTGCAGTTTTCTCCATAATTTTTTGTTTTAAATGCCAAGGGGGATTGATCTATCCCCTCAAAACCACACAATTCCACAGGAAAATACTCAATCTTACACAGAAATGGTTCAATTTCAGCCCAAAATGACTCAGTATCACAGCCCTTCAGGGTGGATGTGGTTGGAAGGGGATTGAGTGAAGGGGGATG